GAAATTATTAACGATCTTTAACAAAAAAACCCTGTTATGCATCGATACTTACAAACTGTGTAAGATGGAAAAATCGAAGTCACGCCTACGAAACGCTAATCAATTCCACCCTTAAACTCATTGGGGCCGCCGTTCTTGCTAGTTTGATAAGTTCAGTCCAGAAGGCTGTCCAGATGGTTCCCAAAGTCCAGAACCGCGTAAATGAAAAACGAAAGCTCGCTGTCAGAGAGGTGGAAATTTTGCCTAACACAAAGAAAACGGCGAATTACTATTGTGGACTGGAGGAGAATTCCTAAAGTACCTCCCAAGTACAACTTACAGGGATACAGATTCTAGGGGATACAAATATCGGAGAAAATGCCGAAATGATTAAATCAAATCCGTATATTCAATTATTGGAGGATTGACAAGAAGTGATATTGTTGAAGAAGTGATCGATGTTAATGCTACAGCAGCAAGTCAAAGTTATGAGTGAGAGCATGTGTGCGGCTCATTTACAACATACATAATGTGAACTTCTACAGCACACAACCTTACCGCGTCGACCAGCTTAAACAGAGAAATTTAGGATAAAATTGATCATTAACGTGGGAGAAGAGGGATACTTCAATGTTCATATTGATAAATTGTCTTTGTCTTTGTCGTTGTCAGAGAAGCAGCGAAAACTCTCTTTTGCTTCTTTACGTATCTTCTAATTTTGGATCATCATCGGGTTGTTTACCATAATGAAATCCCGGAGAAATTGAAAAAAGTTTCAGAGAGTATTCAATTTCAGAGAGAAATCAGTGCAAGATATTAGAATGGATGCCTTTCAATACTCCCTAAACTGCTCCCTACCCACAATGCACCTTGACGTGTCAGCTACTCTGCTATTTACAAATACAGGAGTCGATTTTGCCGAACCACTTTTTACTACGAGAAAGCCAAGGCCTACGACTGTCTTTCGACTTGTTCTTTGACACAATTAACAAATCGAGAGCTAAAGACTAATTTATCTATACAAATCTTTTTGCAAGCTTTTTAGGATTTTCTGCCTGGCGTGGTCTGCTAACGACTGTTGTCATTGTTAATTCCACTGCTCAAGACGTGAAAAGGATCGAGAGATCGGAGGAGATCCAACAGTATTTGATAAACAAGAGAATTACATGGACTTTTATCTTAAGAAAACAGTATAAGGACGAGCACAGCTATCGTTTAAAGAAATGCGGACTGTGTTAATTGAGATCTCTCAGCTGCAACCAACTGGAACAAATTGCTCAAATACCAAAAAATAAATATAGTCACTTCGCCTTTTAACCTTACTTGTACAACGGCGAACATGCTAACCCCTCATCACTAATCTATGGTCGTACCAATTGGTACCATCACCACCAAATGGAATAACAGAAAACGAATTTATAAATCAATGGCAAAAAGAGTATCTTTGCAGATTACGAGAACTGGTGAAAGTATCAAATTGAATTGTTGTGATCATAAAGGATGACAAATCACGTGGTGCGGGAAAGTGGATGAGTTGACATGTCAACACTTGATTAGAGCAGATAAAGTCTGTATAGTCAACAACGATAAAGGACGATCTGCTAATTTTTTAACATTTCGAACACTTGTTACAAATTAACATCCCTCAAAATTATAATTGCATTAAAAGTTGCAATAAAATTGCATAGTGTAACAGTGACAGAGTAGATTTTGTTAAATGTTAATAAAAAATAAACTTACCACATGCATCTTTAAAAAACTCTCAGTCAAAGTTTGCTTAATAGTGATCTCTTAAATGGGTTAATAATGTAACATAGGTCAAAATGATTTCTCACATGTTCCATCCTAAAAAAATATTGCAGTGAAAAAGATGTTAGAAGTAAAATAGATATTATTCCACCTTAAATAGCAAATATATTGCCTATGCTGTGTTTATAAAGTGTCACTATAAAAAGATATAAATAACTAAGAGTTAAAGACAGAGACAGGAAACATAACTTACCAAAATGATTTGCTGTAGAAGTACGAATGTGCTGTGAAACAGTCAGTATAGGAAACAGAGGTATTTGAGGGCATAGAAACTTCACACTATCCTTGGATCCACAGTCTCTCTTGTCATCGGCCCATTAATTTAAAGACTATATCTACAACGATTGAACTTGAATTTTATAGAAGACGCGCAATTCGATTAGCCAAATCGTAATATCAGTTGGCTCATCTCGATATGTTTGTAATATTATCCATTGTAAAAAATTATGACTAATTAAATGTTTTTATTTTCATGTTTTTTTCACTTTCAGTTTGGTTCACACATTGAACATGCAGATCCATCCTATGAAAGTCGTCACAATAAAAATTTGTTGCCAGCAAATAATATTAACAACATACCAGTTGCATTTTGGAAGAATTCCGAATACATGCTGAAATTGGCCAGATCAAATGGTTTTCTTTCTTTTTAAACTAAAAATAAAAATGCACATGAATTAAATAAATGTAAAGAGGAAAATTGCATTTTTTTGTGATTTTAATTTGATGTGACTTTATAGCTTCCGACACTGTTAAGCAATAATGCTGACGAAACTAAGAAATATCCCGCTGTTCATATAAAACTGTAAATATGTTAACAAGGGGGGACCTTGGTTTATGTTTAGTCAATATACCTGGAAGAAAGAAATTCAAAGCTCCAATACTTAAGATAAAAAACATTAAAATGTGATGCCAACTCGTAGGAGTTCCTATATGGGGACCTGAGTCTAAGTTCCAACAATGTAAAAATTCTTGCACAATATACTAAACGTAAATATTTAATTTACCGAAGTCCCCACAAAGCAATTACGCAAGTTTAGAAAACACGCTGTGTAAAAAATGCACAGAACATTGAGAGGACTTACACTCAAGTACCCGCAAAGTCATTCCTACGAGTTTTTATGACATTGTAAAGAAAAATGTCTGACCATATTACCACAGGCTTGATTTTATTTTTTTAGGAATATTTCCTTAAAATACGAAGTGTGTGACAGATAAATGAAGGAATAAAATATTTCAGATGAAAGGAATGAAAATGATCCCGCAAAATAATTGTGACACGCAAATCCTTTATTAATAATTTGCCCCAACAACTTACGTTTTTTCAAACTTATTTATACATGGTATAAAAAAAAGGTAATCCAACTTCAACACGCTATTGTACGTGAACTAATCAGTTTATGCACCAAATTTTTTCACATTCGGAAAGATCAGACTTTTAACTAAAGGTTGACATACTTTTAATACAAAATGGTGAAAAAATGAGCATATACGAGGCTGATAAAAAATGTCACAATCGCATATTTTCACCTTTGAGCCTAATTAAAGCAGTGCATAACAAAAGAAAAAACCAATTAACCACGAACATGTCACAGCTTGCACTGGTTTTACAACATGTTCATTGCAATTATTTACATTTACACTTTTTCAAAAGAGATCATGCTCCGATGCCTTTAACTTGACCACCATCTCTATCGATACAAAATTGACATTGCTGCCGCATTGCTTGGACCCTGTACAGGGTGTCCCAAAAAAAACGCAACCACTTAAATATGCAAGAATATTAATATTGTTCGGGTTTGCACCATAGTTCAGCCAAAATGACTTTTAGCATTGTAAATGAAGGATTAAGTGCCATTTTCAATTCCCAGAGGTGCTTATCTATTGCGCTTTAGAGCTGTATTAATGTTCTGCATATTTAAGTGGTTGCTTTTTTTTGGGACACCCTGTACACTAGTCCCTTGCTAACTCGAACTCCCAAGGGGAAAGAAAAATTGTTCAAGTTACCGGGGGTTCGAGTTATTCGGAGTTAGTGTCAGATTATGTTTATTATTAGAAATACAATAGGTATAAAATCCAATTGAATCATTCTTTAAGAGATTTCATGCCTACCAATATGTCACCGAGAGTGGACGACGTTTTAAAATTGAAAAGATCGAAAAAATACAAAAGGAACTAAAAAAGCTACATCAATAACGACCGTGCATGCACTACAGAAAATGTTTAGAAATTTAAAATCAATTACACTTTCATTCGAGTTTTCACTACCTTGTTGTTATTTCGATAGTTTCCAGTTGTCAAAATGCTATCTTCTCACATTTTAAAGTTTGCTGATTTATGATTCTAAACCAAAGTTCGAGTTAACCGGATATATTTGACCAAGGAAAAACAAAATTTGTTCGAATTAACGAGGAGTTTGAGTTAAGCAAGTTTGAGTTAAGCGGAGTAAATTATTATAAAAAACACTATCAAATTCAAGGGGAATTAGATTTAGTTCGAGTTAGCTAGGAGTTTGAGTTAAGCGAGTTCGAGTTAGCGGGGGACTGCTGTATATAATTTTCTATCTTAAGTAGGAAAACTTTCCATCTATTAAGCATTTATCACGTTTAACTAGTCATTTTCTCTCTTGTCGTGAAACTAGATTAGCCAAATCATAATCTTAGTTGGCTCATCTCGATATATTTGTAATATTATCCATTGTAAAAAATTATGTTTTATGTTTTTTCACTTTTAGTTTGATTCACACATTGAACATGCAGATCCATCCTATGAAAGTTGTCACAATAAAAATTTGTTGCTAGCATATAATATTAACAACTTACCACTTGCATTTTAAAGAAAGAACTCCAAAGATACATGTTGAAATTGGCCAGATCAAATGGTTTTCCTTCTTTTTAAAAACTAAAAAGAAAAAATGCACATGCATTAAACAAATTTCTTGAAAACCAAAAAGAAAAATTGACTCTGATTGGTCGTTAAGGCTGTTGGAAATTTTTAATCCCCGAGCCGGTGCGAAGCACCGGGCGAGGGTACTAATTCCGCCGATTGGCTAAGGCCTAAATTTTTTTAAACAAAATTACGTGAGTAAATTAACTGTCATTATAATTTGAATTTAATTTCTTTCACAAAAGCAAATTACAAAAACCTTTACAGTATTGTGAACAATTGCTTTATATTTGAAAAAAAAACAACACTGAAAGACAATTTCCACGGAAATGTCGGACAATAACCGCATTAGAAAGCAGGAGACGAAAAAGAAGGGAGAAACGTATGAGGATAGCCGTGCAAGACAGAGGAAAAAAAGACGAGCTGTGTTAGTTGGTGAAACACCGGAGGAAAGACAGTATCGGCTGGCAAAGAAGAGGGATGCCTATAAAAGAAGAGCTGAAACGAGTACAGGAAAAAAAGGTAATGAGCTAAGAGCTGAAAGGCGACAAAAGATGCTGCAAGAAACGCCAACACAAAAAGAACGTCGTCTTAGGATGCGAAGAGCTGCTTACAGACGAAGAACTGACAAAAGTACTGAGGAGAAACGGGAGATGCAAAGAGAACATAATAGAGCTAATGCCAGAGAAAGAAGGCAACATGAAAGTAAGGGAAAAAGACAAAAAAGACTTGAAAGAATGAGACAACGAGCGGTAAGTCTTTTGGAGACAGGTAATAGTAATGAAATGCAACAGGTACGCCAACAAAATTCTGAGGTAAGGCATGAAAATGCAATAACAGTAGCTAGAGATGAGGTCCTCACCAGTAGTTCAGACCAATATTTACATGAAGGTGGCTGGCAAAATGTTGACAACCCATTGCATGAGCAGGTATTTGTTCAGAATGAGATGCACAGTTTTCATTTAGATCAAGAGCATTTAGAGCATCGCCAGTGTACAATTTGTAAAGAGGCTTGGCCAACAAGGCAAAACTTGGCAGCAGATCCCTTTGTTTGTTACCGCTGTCAAAGAGACAAGAAGTCCCCGAAAAATTTCAGTGCTGGCAATGACATGGACCCAGGTATTGTTCCTGAGCAGTTGAGAGGTTTGACACAGGTAGAGGAAATGCTGATTTCAAGGGTTTGCCCTATCATGCAAGTCTACAGAAAACATGGTGGGCAAAGGGGTTATAAAGGCCACGTACTAAACTTACCACAGGATATTCAAAGTTTCTTGAATAGGTTGCCTGCACAAGTGGCTGACTTGCCTGTTATGATTGTGCGGAGACGCGGTGCTGATCAGACACATAAAGATTTCACAGTTCGTCGACACAAGGTGTTTGAAGCTATATTGTGGTTGAAAACAAACAATCCATTTTTCAAAGACATTGAAATTGACAGGGATGTTATCCAAAGTCTACCAGAGAATGGTATCCCTGAGGAGCTAAGGTATGTTATTGATGACCAGGAACTTTTAGTTCATGCAGAAAATGAGGGGCCCCACAAGAACCTGAAATGAGTGCTAATGCAACAGTTGAAGAATTAGTTTTAGGAAATGGCAGTACATCATTTATTCCTATGCGTCAAAGACAAAGAAAGGATGGTGCAGCTATCCAAGATGCAGTGAATGAGGTTGACCCTTTGGACTGGCCATCTACAGAAGGTAATGCTGTTAATGAATTTAAAACAGATGGTTTGGCAAGCATGGCATTTCCAACACTATTTCCCCATGGGAAAGGTGACCCGACAAACAGAGTCAGGCAGCATGAGGTAAGTTTGGCAGAGGCATTCAAACACCTGATGAAGTTTGCAGAGAGGCTGCCAAATGGTAAGTTTGAATGGAGGTTTGCCTCACATCCCCGGTTCCCATACTGGGCGTTGAATATGAAGCAGAGGCATCAGCTGTTGTCACAAGCTAACATTTACTTGCGGCAACATCCAGCGGATGCAAACATGACTATGGAGGAGCTGAAAACAATGGTAAACTCTATGGGTGCAAATCAAATGGTAAATCGTTTGCAACGTTATGTTTCAAAAATTCAAGGAACAAATCAGTATTGGTATCAGAGACTGCAAGAACTCTTGGCCCTGATTGAACAAAAAGGTTGCCCTACCTTTTTCTTTACCTTTAGTGCAGCTGACAGCCATTGGCCAGACTTGCAAAGACTGTTGCAAAGTAATGAGGGTGCATCAAGAACAGAGAGAGCACAAGCAGTGATAGACAATCCGCACCTGACAGATTGGTTCTTCATGCAAAGGCTACAGGAGTTTATCAAACATTGGCTTCAAGGTGTCTTGGATGCTGAATGGTTTTGGTATAGGTTTGAATATCAGGCCAGAGGAAGTATACATGCTCATGGATGTGCTAAATTAAAGAATGATCCAGATATTCGGTTATTACGTAAACGTGCATGTAAAGCAGTGCTTGAGAAAGAGAAAGAAAATGAAATGTCCCCTGATGATTTTGAATTCTCTTGCCAGGATATTGTCAGAGAGGGTCAAGATGCGGAGAGAAAGCTAATTAGGTAAGTTTAAATCATCAAGTATTAATGGTATGTTTAAATTACACTCACCATGCATATAGATTGCAAAGATTGTGTCCAATGTGTGCTGTGGAACATTTATAAGACTTTTTCCAGACTTTTAGCCCACTGTATACAGTTAGCATCAGTGGTTAGCATACTATACAAATGCTGCAATGTTGCAAATGTCTAAAAATACAACTTCCACATACATTCACAAAACAAAACAAAATTCCGTATATTTTCTTCAGGAATTGGTAATTCCTATTGTTAAGGAATTGGGAGTGTAAACAGCAAATATGAAAAAATATACAAATTAGGTATTAACCAATTTGTTACTTTTTATCCCTTTTAAAGTTATGTTGACTGGCTTGTGACCACAGTTAATGATGATCTGCCTGATGAGAACTGGACAGTACCAGATCCACACCCTTCTGCGGTGAAAGCCACATCAGTTGATAATCATGATGTTGATTATCACAGGTTAGTAAATTCAGTAGAGAGGCACACCAGATGCAGTCCAGCGTATTGCCTGAAAAAGAAGAGGGTTGACCTGCCTGCAGAGTGCAGATTTGGGTTCCCAAAACCATTACAAGAGGAAACTGCGCTGATTTATGAGGTACGAGGTAAGAAAAATAAATCTGTACACTCAGAGTTGCAAACCAAGAGAAATGATGAGAGGCTGAATTCACACAACAGGGTCATGCTTGAGAATTGGCGGGCCAATGTGGATTTACAGGTAATTGTGGATGAAAAGGCATGTGCAAGATATATGGCCAAGTATGCAGCAAAAGGGGAACCACGATCAAAATCTGCTTCTGACATACTGAAGTTGTCTGTATCTTCATTACAGAATGATGACCAAGTGTCTTCTGCAATCAAGAAAGCAATGATCCAAGTTGCTGGTGATCGAGACATGGCTGCTCAGGAGACTGCCCATATGTTACTCAGTTTGCCTTTGGTAGGCTGTACGTATAGTTTTGTTACTGTTTCTTTAGAAAACAGTAGAAAAGTGATCCTTGATGCAGAAAATCCACAAGAGGAAGTACTTCAGAATTCTGTTCTTCAAGATTATGGAGAGCGGACAAAAGTGGAGAGTAGGTATAGGGGGTTATCTCAGTTGAATTTGATGCAGTATGCATCTCAGTTCACAAGAGTCAGAGGTGAGTTGACAAAACGAGTGAATCCTTATATTGTCAGGACATTTCCAAAGGTTACAGCCAATCCTGGCAGCCCTACCTTTGGAAAATACTGCAAGTATCAACTCATTAAGTTTAAACCATGGGAAGATAAGTCATCAAATGCATGGGACAATATGGAGGAAACTGATGATATGTTTATTAACACATATGCTTCATTTCTTCAGACAGATTTTGCTAGAGACAATGTATTTGGGTATTCTATTGAAACAGAGATGGTCCATGCTGCACAGACAGATGAAACATATGGAACTGATGAAAGTAGTGATGAAAGCGATGACGAACAGGATCAACCTAATGAGGAAGAGCAAATTGAGGATTGGATGTTGTTATGTAGACTCAACCAACATTATGAGGATGCAGGAAATCAAATGGCAAATAACGAAGCAGTGGATTGGTTCGAAGCAGCAAGAGGCTGCCTGGGGATTTGTTGAGAGAATCTCCTGGATGGATTTCTAAACAGAGAAGGGATGCAGAGGAGCAAGGTATGCAGTATCACACAGGTGACCAACAAGTGGTGGTTGACCCAGGGACCTTGAATGACAAACAGCGCTGGCATTTGACATTATCACTGCATCCATGGCTAATGATGAATGTGAACCACTACATATGATTGTAAGTGGTACTGCTGGCACAGGTAAGACATATTTAATTAGTGCCCTAAAGCAAGTATTGCAAGACCAATGTATTGTGACAGCAACCACTGGAATTGCTGCATTCAGTATTGGTGGTCAAACTTTGCATTCCGCAGCTCAACTTCCGATTCGGGAATACAGAGAATTACAGGGTGATTCCTTACAGAGATTGCAGCTCAGATTGGAAGGTAAGAGGTTTCTCATTATTGATGAAATGTCAATGATTGGACATAAGATGCTTTCATGGCTTGACAACAGACTACGTGCAGGTACAGGAAAGAGGATGTCCCATTTGGTGGCATGTCGATTATCCTAATGGGGGATTTTGGCCAATTACCTCCTGTAGGCGATAGGCCAATGTACATTGCAGGTAATGGATCCGTAATCAGTGACCATGGTCACAGTATGTATTTGACATTTGATCATGTAGTCATTTTAGAGCAGGTCATGCGACAGATTGGTGAAGACCCAGAAGTAGTTGCATTCAGGGCGCTATTGATGAGAATGAGAGATGGACAAGTTACCGAGATGGACTGGAGACTATTAATACAGCACTCCAGACCTAACGTTTCAATGGATCAATTTAGTGATGCTATTCGGCTGTACTTTGATAAAAAAAGTGTCGCTGAATATAATTATGAAAAGTTGCTAGAGATTGGACAACCATTGGTCAAAATTCAAGCAAGGCATTCTGGTCGGGGTGCAAGTGCGGCAACCTCTGATGAAGCAGGTGGTTTGGAAGCTGTTCTCTTTTTGTCAACCAAAGCAGAAGTGATGCTGACATGTAACCTTTGGGCAGAAGTTGGTCTTTGCAATGGCTCTTTTGGAACTATTGAGCAATTTTGGTTTGCAGAGAATATGGGTCCACCAAATCTACCGATTGCAGTACTGGTTCATTTTCCGGCATATTCTGGCCCTGCATTTCTACAAGAATGTTCAAAGTGTATACCTGTGCCTCCAAGACTGTTTGAGTGGATGGCGGATGGAAAGTATTTGTCAAGACAACAATTGCCCTTGCGGCTGAGGTATGCAATGACGATACACAAGTCCCAAGGACAGACACTAACCAAGGCTGTTGTTGATTTAGGTAAAGGGGAGAGAGTTGCTGGCTGCACATTTGTGGCAACATCCAGGGTAAGATCAATTCATGATATTGTGTTTGAACCTATGACATTTGATCGTCTGAAAGTCATTGGTAGGAATAAAAATTTGAAGAAGCGACAAGAAGCAGAACGACGACTTCGTGTGCTTGCAGAAAAGACTGAGCAGAGGCATAAGCATTGAAAATCTGGTGGATGGATTGTGCTGTAAGTTGTGTGTTGCTACATATATATTGTTCAATGATACTGGGCACCAATGTGCTTTCGAGGAAAGACTTGCCTGTTACTAGACACAATTTTGGAAATGAATTTGCTAAAAAATTGTTACAGACATTTCCTCTATTGGGTTTTTGAGGAGGGCAATTTATCATGGAAACATGTGTCATTGCCTGTTACTAGACATAATCTCACGTATTATGTTTTTGAGGGTGCTGTTGACATGTACAGATATTTACATTATTAAAGTTTGTTCGTTTTACTAAAAAACATTAGAACATCAATCAAGTAAGATACAATATAAACAATCAACCGTTTCACTGTTCAAAACTCTTTACTTTATAATTCGTGCGTGTAGGCGTTTACGCGATTTACCTGGTGACTGAAAAAGAGTACACGCAAAATCCACGTATAGCATAAATTTCAAAAAGCGCGCGAAAATATCGTCCTGTTCTGTGTCACTGTTTGGACTGCGGTAAGTCATATTCATAATAAAAAACTTTATAAAATATTGAACATTTCGAAGTTCGCCCAATAAATTATACTACACTTCTCGCTTGTTGACATTTTCATTTACAAATTTGAGGAGAAACATTTTTGGAAGAAACTGCAAAAACTTTTTTAAAGCATTTATAAATTTGTCGATTTTTGCAACGCTGATGGCTGATGCGCTTTACCTTTAGGAAATAATGAAAATATTATATTTTTTCTTATATTTTAGATTAAAAGAAGTTTTGAAAAAAATCTAAAACATGTAAGTTTGTTTATATTACAATAGATATATTTTTTTCAAAACTAATATTTGTATTTATGATTTTTGAGCTTGCCTCGAGTACGCTATATGGTGCTGTTGTTTTTACATACTTTTTTTGCTCAATATATTTTTTATGTTGATGGCATATTTATATATACTCTAAAGATCTAAAGGAGACGAAGAAGTAAGATGCAAAATTATTTCAACAAAGCACTTTTTTCATGATGTTGGTAGTGCAATTATTGTATTAATATGTACATCTACTTTACCAACTACTTTAGTGGAGAATAATGAGGATGAACTCATACTTGGTATGTATATAGGCACATATTTATATATCTTTCACTCTGAATGTACAAATTAGCAACTGATTAAAATGTCGTTGATCATTTCCAATGTTCAAAAATCTAATTTAACAATTATTTTTTGGATTTTAGACATTGATATTGATAATGATGATGGTAAATATGATTAAAAAACTATTTGAAATATTATTTTTGTCACAGTTAGTTAATTTGTATGTCTTTTCACATAGCACTAAAAGGATAACACATGGAAATTTTCTTTCACTATAGAAATACTTGAGGCAGTCCCTGACCTGGCCCAGGGGCCAGATGAGCAACCCAGTAAGTTTCATGATTGATGTGACTTATTGATGCATACTTTCCCCTGCACAACTGAAATACTTTCATTTAATCTAGTGAATCCTCCACCTCAAGAAAGGCCTGGTATGTGCTTATTGAATATGCACAAAAATGATATGTTCTTTGAAATTTTGTATATACTGCCTATATTGTTTAACATTTATAAATGTATAGTGAAGCAATTGCATGATGATATATATTGAAATGAACTAACTTATATTTTCAATTCTCAAGCCTTGCAAGTTAATGCAAATTTTGATGGTATATATCAGCTACTTTGTTCAATATTATTTAGTTTATGTATTAATTAGTGATGATGATGCATGGTCAAGTTTTTTGTCAACAATTTAAAACTCTAAAATTAAAAAGGTTGCCTCCTATCATTACATGGATTTATGCAATATGTCACCAAATTTGTTTTATTTTTTTATTTTAGATAATGACCCACGCCCTGGGCGGTTTCAGGGGGCAGGCAGAGGTACTGTATGATTCATTATATCCACAACAATTGTTTCCAGTGTTTGTCATTGGATGCTACTCAAAAAATATCGCATTATGAGGATGCTCAATATGACATTTTGTCTTTTTAGTGTTACATGGACAAGTTAGAGGTTAGTAAAGTTCAATTGACAATGGTCATGCACCTCAAGAAAGGCCTGGTATGCTGATTGAATATGCACAAAAATGATATGTTCTTTGAAATTTTGTATATACTGCCTATATTGTTTAACATTTTATGATTAGAAAGGTATAGTAGAGCAATTGCATCTTAATATATATTGAAATGAACTAACTTATATTTTCAACTCTCAAGCCTTGCAAGTTAATGCAAACCTTGACAGATATGTATCAGCTACTTTGTTCTATATTACTAATTTATGTATTAAGTGATGATGATGCATGTTCAAGTTTTTTGTCATCAATTAAAACTCTAAAATTAAAAAGGTTGCCTCCTATCATTACATGGATTTATGCAATATGTCAACCAAGTTTGTTTTATTTATTTATTTTAGATAATGACCCACGCCCTGGGCGGTTCGGGGGAAGAGGCAGAGGTACTGTATGATTCATTATATCCACAACAATTGTTTCCGGTTTTTCCCATTAGATGCTACTCAACAAATATTGCATTGTCAGGATGCTCAATATTACATTTTGTTTTTTTAGTGTTGCATGGACAAATGAGAGGTTAGTAAAGTTTAATTGATAATGGTCATGCAGTTAACTCAAGATTTTTGGTAGCCTGCAAACCAATTATTTCTTGATATCATTTCTTGATATTAGGGCGGTGTTACAAATGTGGCCTTCGTGGCCACCGAGCGGCGACATGCGACGCACGTATGTATACAGTACCTTATGAATTGTCACGTAATGTATAGTCAGTTGTTACGTCACTAGTTCACAAACAATATAATCATGGCTTCAGGGCTATTCTTAGATAGTAGATGGTAGTATAGACGCTGCCCATCGCAATATATGACAATAATGTTTTAGGCTATTTCTTTCTCCAACTGGTGACCCGAGTAATTATTCTGCAGTTCTATCACCAATTCACAGTTAATTCAAAGCTATGTAATAACATTTTTTATTTATAGGGGCTGTTTGTTGGTTATGTGGCCGAAGAGGCCACACGAAAGTCGTTTGTCCGCAGCGACAGGGGGCACAAAAAACTGGGGCAATAAAACCCACCATGCAGTTTACAAACTGCACGTTTGAGAAGTTCAATGCTTGATTTGCTTGAACTTCTCAAACCTGCAGATTAGGCTACGTTGACATACAGTCTAATTGAAATCTCCCCGTTGAACATCTTGCCCGGTATACAAATGTTGAATAAGATTTAAAAAAACAATGAGCTATCAGTACATTAAAGACGAGACAATATTGTTTTCAACTAGCATCTTGCCCGGTATACAAATGTTGAATAAGATTAAAAAAAACAATGAGCTATCAGTACATTAAAGACGAGACAATATTGTTTTCAACTAGCCGCTCATAAATCACTGTATGTCAACGTAGCCTCGTGTTGTTCTCACGTTATATTAGTCCTATTTACACTACATTCGATTTATTAATGGCACGGCACGGCTAAAATGGGTGCCCATTTCATCTGTGCTCGGCCTTTGCTTTCGTAGCCTGAACACTAATAGGGAGCTTTAGCAGTGACTACGAGTACGAGATTCGTCATTCTCGCGCGTTGTTTGCTTACGCCATCAGCCAAAACTCATAGTCATTGGGCTTTTGAGTACGAAATTTATCAAAAAACAAGTACTCAAAAGCCCAACGACTACGAGTTTGGCTGATGGCGTAAGCAAACAACGCGCGAGAATGACGAATCTCGTACTCGTAGTCGTACTCGTAGTCACTGCTAAAGCTCCCTATTAAAATTGGGCACGGGTACCAATTTTAGCCGTGCCGTGCCGATAAATTGACTGTAATGTAAACGGGGCTATTGTTGATTAAATTTTTAAATTGTTTTAAATTAATATGTAAATTGTTATTTTTATTATTCTGTAAATTTTGTATTATTGTGAATTTGTAAAATAGTTTGTATTTATATATTTTTTTAATTAAATTTATTTTTCACCGATTTTTGGAAATTATGTTATCGCATTAAGAACCGGCGAGGGGTTACTGCATGCATGTATTTCTAGTACAATAATAACCGTTACAAACCGGAAGCTAGGATTTTTGGCTTTCCAGTCTGGATTCTTCGGAAAGAACGAGATTGATATGTCCTGTATCCCTCGCCCGGCCTCGCCCCTCAAGCCATTCCCCTCCAACAAGGAAAGAGTTTGACAGATTCACCAATTACACTGATGACAATACAGCTTGTGAACAGTCAAGGGGACTGTTTTTTAGGGCAAAATTTCACAGTATTGTGATGAGTGGCGAAAATTCAAACAAGTCAGACAGTCAATCAGTCATAGTGTAAACTTTCCGGGGGTAGTTTGATTTATGCTTATAGTAATTTATTGTACATGATGAGTAATGTAACGTATTTAAAGCAGTTTAACTTGTTTTATTTATTAACTAGGTTACCTACAGGTAGTGAATGCTGCGTTTGCATCTTGTATATCTGCAAACACGCGCTGGCGCAAGCCTAGTCATGCAGGATTGAATACTTAATCGGGTAATCGCCAAATCGGGTTGGTCATAATAGTAGGTTGTTGTGTTACTGAAATCTAGTTATTTAAAAACAATAACATATTTCTGAACTCTTCACATGGGACTTGAAAACTTGGCTAATTGTTTGAGATTGTCTAACATTTCGCTAGGAGTTGTAAATGTACAACATCAATTAGGCCCGTTTCAGACTACGAACTTTCCATGTGCCCAACCTAATGCAAATTAGCAAAATTATTTTTTCGCAGATCATTAATCGAGACTGCAGTTAAGTAAACGTGATCATGTGCCGTTGATCGCAAGTATATCTCTGAATAACAACGTGCTCATGCCTTTCTCAGAGACAGCAGAGGCTAGGCGATATAAAAAACAATTACTTGATGATGTAATTTTTGTTTTAACAGAGTTTTTGATATCATTCTGTTCTACTCTCCATAAGTTAGTGTTAAGCACGGTAAGTTGCTGTCAGTAAAAGATAATTTTTTGTAAAATTTTATAGATATATAGATATTTTACCACTTCCGATTTCACTCGCTGTACTTACTGCGCTTTTGGTTGTGAATGATTGCATTTATGCTCCTTTACTAATGGCAAGTCAAACAATGAACACAAAAATCTTTGAGATTTGGCATGAAGAGGAGTAAAAAGGAAAGATTGACTATGTTGTACTTGGTCATAAGACATTTCAAATTTTAACTGCAACTGACCAGATAAAACAAACGTTTTGAAGTAAATTCACAACATTCGATATCAAAATACATAGAACACTTCAAAAACACAGAAAAAAGCAAGAGACATGCTGAAATATTTTAAATAAAAGAAGTGTACTTGAAGCTATATGTAAAAGTCTAAAGTCTAAATTCGGCAAGTGAAATGGGAGGTGAATCAATGCTATATAGTGGTTCAAAGTCTAAGGCCCTGTTTACATGAGACCGGAACGAAGTGGAACCGGAATGAAAATCGAAATTGCCAACATGTTTACATGGATTCAGTGGGACCGGCACGAAATTACGAAATTTTCCCAGCTGGTTAACGCCTGCTTTGCAGGCTATTTCAATCCAAGATGGCGCCTACAAGTACATATCTTGTGTTACTGCTTATGTCTACAGTTATTTGTTACCAGTTAAATATTCTCATTTTATTGCTTTTACGACGTAAAAATGTGCGTAAAGAGAGAGAAAGAAGTTTTCTGATTAGTCAGAATATGACGAAAATGATGATTTATGGTAGAAAAATCAGAAAACCTAGAAAAAAGAAACGATGGTGGGTTGCACCTGGGCGTACTGATAACTGGAGGATAAGGATGACCTCTGGGGAAGCTCCTCTTGAAGAATGGAATAAGAATTTTCGTATGAGTAAGGAAAACTTTGTCGAACTTGTCAATGAGTTACGACCATTCATCACTCTTGATCCAAATTCTCCTCGATTAGGTATGGAACCTGAAAAATGATTAGCTGTTTGCCTCTATTATCTTAAAGACACAGCAACCCTAAAGATGACAGCCAACGCATTTGGAATAAGTGTACCAACAACTTCTAAATGTGTGAAGAACGTTTGTAAAGCGATAAAAGATCATTTAGGCCTAAAGTATATAAAAATACCAGCAGGTGATGAACTGATAGATTCTATAAAGCGTTTTGAAGATGAACTAGGTTTTCCACAGGTTTTAGGTGCTGTTGACGGAACACATGTGCCAATTGTGCAACCAAATGAAAACAGTCATAGTTTTTTCTCTTTTAAGATGAAATATACATTGAATGCACAAGCTGTTTGTGACTCGTCTGGGAAGTTTATCGATGTTGAAATTAGATGGCCAGGAGGCACACATGATGCCAAAGTTTTTGCTAATTCTGGAATCAACAGAGCACTAAAAGAAGGGACTGTTCTAAAAATGTCCATTTTTTTGCTACTAGGAAGAGATGCTATACCATTACTTTTGTTGGGTGACCCTGCATATCCTCTACTTCCCCACTGCATGAAAAAATATTCAACCTGCTACACAAATGAACAAGTTATCTTTAATCAAATGTTAAGAAGTGCTAGAAATAAGGTAGAGTGTGCCTTTGGAAGACTCAAAGCTAGGTGGCAAGTTCTGACAACACTAATAAACCTAAAATTAGAGGATATCCCAACCATAATTTCTACATGCTTCGTTCTGCACAATTTCTGTGAAAGACACAAAATTCAAGTGGACAATACTCTAGTACAGAGCAGATTGCAACTGATGCTGAACAGCAACCTACTTCATTTGTCCAAAGCAGATATTTATGCAACACAGCTCAAGGAGTTCGCACCAGGGATGTTATCACTACATACTTCAAAGAATATTTATTGTAACTTGTTGTTTGTATATATATTGATTTAGCTTCGCTTATGTAAAATGTGAATTTGCATGATATATTCTATCAGGAATTCCATCCAGTCTCCATGATCAATTAAAACAGAAAAATAATAACTTAATGCTTGATGATTAATGGGGTAGCCAACTGCATATTTGTTGTCAAAATTGAAATATTTACTCGTGTTTTTCACAAATATTTTAATTACCATCTTTATGCACTTTATTTTTATTCTAATTCTAATGCCAGATAATTTTGCTCATCAAGGGTAGAGTGTTGCCACTCAACATTGTGTACCTGTCTTTTCATTGTAGCAATCGAACGGTTTGATTGTAGCCTCCTCCCTTTTTAGCTTATTTGCTGGCAAGACTTTACCAATCACAAGTGAAATTGTGTGATATTAGACAGAGCAAAACAGTTTGGCATTGGATAAAGTGAAATCACTAAAATACCCAAAATTCTGGACAAACTGTCTGCTAATGCAAATAAAATATATTTCAATAAACATGACTAATTTTTTCACAACTTTAGCATTTAATAACATCAAAATTACAAAATACTTTTACATCAAACTAAATATGAATGCTATTTAAAAAAATAAATACATTTACAAAAGGCAGAATAATTGCATCAAGTGGTTCAATGCATATTATCAGTGCTTGTTTTGATTGTTCAAGTACATTGTGTGCTTATGTACATCTTGAGAACCCTATCACATATACAGATCCCTAGCTAAACTCAACATGAAAAAACTATTCATCCAACTTCAAGTTAACATAAACGTAGACTTCCACTTATTATTGCAACAATAAGAATAATCCATAAAAAGTTTATAGTACAATGATTCATACGTCTTCATTACTATTTGTTGTGCTTGAATCACTGTAAGGACTAATTGATCGGAATTCATACCCTAGATTAACTATTGAGATTGGACCAGGGGGAAAGGCATTATAACTTTGCTGAGTGTAAGCTCCATTTTGTTGATGGGGTAGAACCTGGTTGATTTTTTTCTGGCATTGGGTATTGTTGAGGAAACTGTTGTTGGCTTGGCTGATTAACTGTTGCTAGATGATTGAAACCAGTCATAATAGCTTGACTCAACATCTGCATGGAATCTGCTATTTTCATCAAAGCATTTGAATCTGCATTTTTCCTGCTTTCCTCCAGTGACAAGTTTTTCTGCTTAAGGGATAAATCTTCTTTCATTAATTGTAACATAGCATTATCCCGTTGTTTGCTACTCAGATTTTTTTCCAATTTTTTTTGTTTCTCGTCAACATACAAGGCAGTAAGGCACTTTTGTTTTGTTTGCTCTTTACAATTTTCCTCAAGACGTTTATCAATATCGTCGTGGATAGTATATTCAAAACCAGTGCCCAAATGCTGGTCACCTTCATCATCACAAAGCTTATCATTCTCTTCAATTGAACCTGCATTGACATTGTTTTCACTGTCAGATTGGACACCAGTTAAGACTGCTTTCTCCATATTTTAAGGGGACAGTGCCAGGAGCACCACCCCAGATTTGAATAAAGGAGTCCCAGTGTTCTTTAATAATTCTTCCACTTCCAGATCTAGTACCTTCCAGAACAGCCTTTTGGAACGAGGTACGAATTTTCTTGATTTTCGCTTTAACTCTATCATAACCAACTTTCATCGTCTTTTGATCTTTGTCAAATTTGTCCTTGAATGTTTTGTAGTCTTCCTTAGACATCTCACTCACATCTGTAGTTGCCACAACGTGTTCTACTGGGCCAAAATTATCTTCGCCATATCTCTCACCCTTGCGCTTCAGTATATCGCCATATAACTGAACTAAATCCCCTTCAAAATCAATTCCTTCGCCTTCCTTATCTACTTTATAACTTAGCAGGCACTCTACCAAACATGCTGTCATCTCATCATCAAAAATCCACCGTTTATTTTTGTTTGATTTCGCTGTCGTCTTTCAATTTTTTTGTACCCTTGCCTTTGCTCGCCATTTTGTTTTTGTACTTTGCTTTTGTGCGCATGCGTTGTTTAGTATTTCGAACCGGTTTGAAATGAACTTTGTGTTTACATTAATGCCGGTCTGAATTCATGCCGGTCTGAATTCATCCCGGTCTGAATTCATTCGGTACGGTTCAGCAGGCGGTCTGACTTCAGACCGGTCTGAGTTATTTCCGTCCCAGTCTCATGTAAAGATCTATTATAAATAATATTATGACCGAAATGAACTCGTCCCGGTTTTAGTTCGTTCTGGTCTCATGTAAACAGGGCCTAAGAGTTCAAGTCCAAGGGGCAAAGATCAGCACACACACAAATATATAAATTAAAAAGAAAATATCATTCATCAATAATAATGAACATTAATACATGTAAGTTGATTGAGTGCTCTGTTTTTCAAATATATAACTAAATTCAGCAAGTCAAATCGAAGCTGTATTAATGCTGTATCAAATGTCAATGGTATATACTGTATATATCCGAGGGGCAAAGAACGGCACACACACAAAGACTGAAAAGAAAATATCAATTATCATTCACCAGAGTGCCCTGTCTTTCAAATATTTAATGCTCTGCATATAAAGAAGCCAACAGGTGTTATAAAATTCAAAGTTCCGGGGCAAAGAACACGCACAAATATAAAAATTTAATAGCGAATAATAATGAATAGCAATGCGCATAAATGTCAATAAATATAAGCTAACTGTCTTTCAAATATACAACGCTTTGTTGTTTGAATGTTCTTTGTTAAGGCCAAACCACCAAAAGCGCAGCAAATACAGCGAGTGAAATCGGAAGTGGTAAAATATCTATATATCTGTAAAATTTTACAAAAAATTATCTTTTACTAACAGCAACTTACCGTGCTTAACACCAACTTGAGGAGAGCAGAACAGAATGATATCAAAAACTCTGTTAAAACAAAAATTGCATCATCAAGTAATTGTTCTTTATATCGCCTAGCCTCTGCTGGCTCTGCGAAAGGCATGAGCATGTTGTTTTTCAGAGATATATTTGCGATCAACGGCACATGATCATGTTTGCTTACCTGCAGTCTCGATTAATGATCTGCGAATGTAATAATCAGTGATGAAATGAGGGTAAAAAAGCTAAGAAACTGGCAATCACAAAATTGTTTAACTGTTCACCAGAATCCCCACTAGAAAAGGAAGCACATTGAAGCACGTGGCAAGAAACAATATAATTATATAAAGTTGATTCACGCATAGCATTGTGGGTCTATCTAATATTTGACCACAATGCAATGCGCTAAAACAAAATTTAAAAAATTCCCAACTACATCAATTAGGTCTGCTGCCTTGCTCGCTCGCCCCAGGCTCGCTCGCTGCGGCAGCGATTATCCCTTTTCCTTTTTAAATCCCTTTTCCTTTGGTGGTGGTATACAGTATTAATTAATAAGTATATTGCTTTGGCTATATTGCTTTGTATCCACATCATAGACATAACATTCACCGCGGTTTATTTACATTATTTACAATGCAAGTATTATTTGGAAATGACGGATCAGTTGTTGCTATCATATACATGTAGTTCATGTAGTCACAGTTGTTTGATGAAGAGAAGAGACATGGTGTTTTTTGCTGAAACCTGTAATACTAAACTGAGAAAATAGCGCCCGCTTTGCATGAGCAACTAAATTTATAATCTAATATTACAATATCGCGGCTAACGTAATTTGAGTACTTTGAGTAACTTCCTGTTTGATTAAGGGCAATTTTTAACCTAGTTCTTTATATTTTTACTGGCATAAGTCAAAAGGTCTATGTTGGGACAAATGTCTGGTTGTTCACTATCAATCTAACTTTGAACTATCCTTGGATACCTAGTTTCACTTTCAGTTTAGTTCACACATTGAACATGCAGATCCATCCTATGAAAGTTGTCACAATAAATATTTGTTGGCAGCAAATAATATTAACAACATACCAGTTGCATTTTGGAAGAAGAATTCCGAATACATGATGAAATTGGCCAGATCAAATGGTTTTCTTTCTTTTTAAACTAAAAATAAAAAATGCACATGAATTAAATAAATGAATGCAGAACTGGAGATCCAAGAATAGTGCAAAGTTTCGAGGTTAGGAACTGTGTCCTGATACAACCCATGCAACTTGCAGATACTTCAGGACAGGGTGGTCACATCTAATACCTCTAAAATCTAGAAATCTAAAAATCTAGTAATCAAGTGCCAGGATAAACATAACTCGGAATCAATTATACGAGCAAGGCCAGTTGATGAAGCATATAGTTCTAGTTCAATTACAACTAAGAGCTGAATCACTAATCGAGGAAAATTTCCACTCATATTGTTTTTCATTATACTCAAAAGTACTCAAATTATATTTGCCGCAATTATATTGTAGCTCATGGCAGCTGGAACAGTTTCGCAGTGACAGGTTTCAACAAAATACACCGTTTATGTGTCTTCAGTTCGTAGAAAGGTGTTACTTTATGATGTCAACATTTAAAAGTTTAACACCTTACAACATACCTTACCTCTCCCTAGGAATTTAACCTACAAGGGGTGGTCAAAAAAATTGGCCCCCAACGAAATAAGGCACATGTGTATCTTTGCATTATAAATGAAGGTACGCCAATAAAAATTTTGTGTATTTGAGCATATTTCTTTAGTTTTAGGAGCCAGCTTATAAAAATTGTGATTATAAACTTCAGATTGAGAATATGATGGGTTTGCAGAACTTTTCGTAAAAATTCAAGATGGCGGTTTTCAATCAGATGTGCATGGAAATGATGTCATTGTTTGTCCAAACAACCGTCTGATTCATAGCAAATTTTTCGGAAACGCTACCTACAATTTGAACAATTAAATAACTAAGTAACAGAATTTGGCTTGTGTGTAAAATTATGCTTAAACGACGCTAAATGACAGAATATGCCCCTCTGAACTCTGGGTGTTTGTATGGTAATGAAAATGGTACTCAAAACCCACCTAATAAAGAGTTGTACCTACAAATCCTGGAATATATCTACAATTTATTACCTTTTAAACCACTCATTCACACTTGGATGCAAATACTGTGTCCCTTAAGCTGACTGTGTTTGGAGAACATTCTGATTGACTAATTGCATCATAACAAATGAAATTTATTCTTCAAAAATTAGTTAGAGTATTTTAGGCCAGTTTGTATTGGATTATATGAATTATCTTTATGAATATTATTACATAATGTTCAATATTGGGCACTAAATATACAGCAAAGTTATTATTTCACTGAATCTTTGCTATAAAGCACCAATCTTAGTTTTTGTGTAGAGAACAATTTGTGTAATTTTTCGCACATTCTATTTCTCGAAATCCCAATTTTGAATAAAAAGATATTAAACCAATTGAATATACACAATCAGACATGATTTGTTAGGGACTTCTTCCCATATTATGACTAACAACTGAAGGTGTTACTTTTAATTTATGGGGGGGGGTACTATTTTTTGACCACCCACTGTATATTTCCTATCACTGAATATGTACAATAAATAACTACGAAAATAATTTGAAGGACCCCGGAGATTACGCTATGACTGACTTACTGACTAAAGAACTGATTGAATGACTGATGTGAATTTTCGTCACTGATAATTTTCTAATGTAAATTTGATTTAACGTTACAAATTTGGTTTCAGCGCTGCTTAAGCAATAACGCTGTCAAAGATTGAAAACATCCCCCTGCTAATTTATAGACGTCTTAATCCCACTGCATGCAAATATAATTGCAACTGTAAAAATCTCTCATCCTGATAAACACCTTTACTGTCCTGCTACTGTGCATAGATATAGTCAAATCGGAAAAAATATTGTGCTGTCATAAGCATCCCATTCTATGCCATGCTATGCAATTTTTTGAGACATCCAATCCTTGTTGGCCCTCTCTGTGCCATCTTTGGTCCAGAAAAAGAATAATACACATTTATTATTCAATAACTTTAACCAAGTCACAAGATATCATTTATTGTAAATTATCAGTAAAAACAATTTTAAATCCAGATAACATTCATTGACAAACAAATATGCTCGGATAGATTTTGGGTATCATGCCTGGTGTCAATTTGTTAATATTTTTTTTAAAAAGTTCTACAGGCATTAAATAAATAGCATATATCACATACTATTTATTTGAAAAGAAATATATGAATTACATGCTTATATTCCCTAGATGATGTGAGTTTTGAACTCATTAAAGAAATGAAAGTATCTTAAAGCAGTCAATGGAATGCATGGTCATTATGGACAAATAAGCCAATAAGCTTTCATGGACAAATAAGCCAATAAGTTATGTATATATATGTATATATTAATTGTCATATTAAAGCATTTTCAACAATTATTTGCTGGTTTTATTAAATTTATAATCTGTTTAAGATTATATAATTGCCAAAGTCTATTGTACTAAAAAAAATTAATCTCTTAAGTAAAATGATATATAAATTAATGAATACATAACACAATTTAGGTGAAGATGCCTTATTTTTCCACACATACCATTAAACCAATAAATATATATTGAGTAAGAAAGTGCAGCAAACTTCAAGCAGACGTACCACGCCATTGAGATTTAACAGTAATACAACATCAGATTGCATTCTTAGAAAAATATATTCGAAATAACACATATGCTTTTTTTCTATCCAAATCGAATTCAGGGGCCGGTTGTATAAATTTCTTAATCATGTATCCTCAAGGGCATCGTTAAACTTTCAAAATCATAATTAATAATGACATCTTGTACTTTTTAGGAGTGAGAAAAATATAGCTTTGCTTTGGAATAAGACTATAATTGTCTATGTCGACTTACGATCCCAACTCCAAGATTATCCAACTCCACAGTCTCCATGTTCATCTGCAACCTTTAGTTTGACTCAAGAGGGTATTTTTTATTATAGAATATATATTTTCAAATCTTTTTTGTTGATTTTTTTTATGCTTCTGCATTATCTTTGCATTTTTTTTCAAATACCAACAATTTTTGTAAATACGAATCCTCATTCCTCAGTGTTGTTCAAAATCTATAGCAGCGGTTCATGACTATTAGATACTTCATGCTATTGCTTTGTTTGACAACCACACCGCCAGTCCACGCAAGTTAACTACGTGATTCAGGGCATCTTTCAGCGTATATGCTGGGGGAGGGCATTGCCCTTCCAGTCCCTCTTAATGTCACCCTGACCCCCCTCCACCAGCTCCGAGTAGCCCATTTGCTCTTTTTCACGAACAAATCTTTCAAGTAAACAAGGTTTGAAACAAATTCAGATCCATTTCAGTAATTCAAACCGAATATAGAGTTTTATAGAATATAGAATTCAGATTTCATTTTGCATTATTTAGTGGTATTGTTTACATTTTATAGAATAGATAGATAGCTGAATAGATAGTATATTAAAATTACGTTTTAGCTGCCATCTTAAATATGAAAGAATTCTTGGCACGATCAGTATGAAAGTGAGGTATATTAAATTTACGTTCATTTCTAAGGTCAAGATGCGATTGATGTAACGGTGGGAGCAAATTATGAAGTTTATGCCCCGGATCTTTGACTATATTCTTGAACAAATTCTCCCATAAAAGGTTATGATGTTCTTCCATTTGTCTTACATTCAAAGATTCACAAGCTGAACCATAATCCACTCCAGGCTTTATAATTGCTATCGCTCTTTTTTCCAAACGTTCAAGGTCACTCTTTAAATATCTCGGAAAGGCGTGATAAAAGGCTGGTACAGCATAATATATGACTGATCAGGGCGGCCCAGAGGAGGGCAAAAGGGGCAGTTAGCTCCGATGATGAATACCAGGCTTTAAGCCTGGATGACCATTGTCTTAAGAATCTGGGATATTCTTTCAGATTTCAGGTCGCTGGTGCGCAAAATGCTTTGTCTATTGGAAAGTAATAAAATGGATCCCCAATTCCTAGGAGCTAGTGTGCTCATGCATACGTCGCCGATAGTCAGCGACATATTGTTTGTGGCAGGTGATGGAGAAAATTTATTCAAAATAACAAAACATTTCATTTAGCAGTAGTCACTGACAAATGCCATCGCCGACCATCAGTGACAATATGAGAACCCGGCTCAATCATTGTGGTTTAAAGTGTAGATTGTTCACAGCTGGGTGAAATTAGGTGAAAATTTGACTTGTTTTATTTCACTCTAAGCAAGATAATCGATCAAGTTTGAGCACCAAATTCGTCCGGTAATGTGCAAACGAAAAAATTTCCCACACTAATGGCACATAAACTAAGGGCTCATGTAAACTTTGCGAACCAAGGAGCCTTTCGCATGCCAAGTTTATTAACTATATTTAGTTAGTGCATGGCTTTTTTGCATGCTAATAGTCCTTAGTTCATGACTCTCTCCAGTTTACATTAATTAAGTGATTCTGCCTTAATATGCAAAATTAACAATGATAAATATAATCCCTGGGGAGATAAGTAATGAAAAAAGAGCGTCAAAGGACAAAAAGTGAACAAATACTTCCTATAAAAAATATCACATTACAACACGAAATATAAATTAATCAAACAACATGCATAATAACATTCTACATTTTAAGGTAATTCCCTATAAGCACTATAAGGTTATAATTTTATTGAGAATACCGGACATATATAGGGTAAATGTTCACATATATAGTTATGTGATGTTATGTCTCGCTGCTGTTTCAGGCGGTTCGCCAGAATCTACATAGTATAAATACTGTCAGATTGTTCGGGCAGGCCCAGTATTTTTAGTGGCCAGGTTACTAATCCCACCAATCCCAGGAATCTAGCAATGTACTAGTTCCAGTCTACCCGTTAATGAAAGCAACGCGATCAAGATGGCGATAGAGATAGAGTATTTGAATCTATCAGAACTAAATCATAGCCACAGTATAGGTATATTATCTACTTGATGAGATTTTTCGCTAGTAATTACCTCAGATACTATGGGGATATATATCATATTGGGAGAGCGCATTCTCTAAGCCCACCGTTTAAATCAAATTTTGGTTACACTGAACTGGATGTCACATGTGATTGACACACTTGTCGAAATATTGACAAAAGGCTACGTAACAATAACAAATTGTACACATTTATATAAATCCAGATTTCAAGACAAATTAAACTACGGTAGCCAAGATAGGAGTCAGGAGTTTAATCTCAAAATCAAATTCCTATCTCGCGCCAATTAAACTAATTCAGATTGGAATTTAATTTCAATCTCGCGCCGATTAAACTAGTTCAGATTGGAATCTAATTCTAATCTGGCACCAGTTATACTAGTTCGGACAGAATCTCATTCCAATCTTACACCAACGGCCCAGCTGGGCTTTGTGCAAACTCAAATCACTGAATGGAGCATACATGGACAACCTTTGCTCTGGATCTACTAACTACCCCATAATTGTAGACCCGTTAATACTATCAAGGGACGAAGGATGTAGGATTTTACTTCATTTTATTAAAATAATATTCGGTATGTCTTTCTTTATTGTGAAAACAACAATTAAGGGTGTTTAGTCCATGGTTCAGTAACACGTGAATCCGCCTCTTTTTTTCATCTCAGATATCGTGTGATGGGTTTTTTAACCATATTAACGAGTCTGCTAATTTGTCATTAAAGATTTCGTGAGCTTTTTTTTGGGATCAATTGTGGGGAATTCTGTTGCTTCCCACAATTGGTTTGAAGAAGTATTTTAACGTTTTTATTTAAGATATGTTTCTTTTAACTATAATTTCACTTGCTCGCACGCTCTCTCTCTTGCTCTATCTAATATGTCAATCAAGTGTCAGTTTTTGTTCGCTTCCGCTAAGAACAACTAAGACGCTACTAACATTCACGACACACTCCCCCTATTTTTAAACATCCTAAATATAAAAATATGAATATAAACTGTTTTACTGACTGTTATTAGATTGTCCCAGTCATTTTGAGTCGTTTGTATAACTCTTGCATAAATGTTAGTCACTTTCATTTTCAAACTCTTGCATTCGCCGAATATTCACTGTTGCCTCAACCGCCGCTTTCCGCTTTGGCTTAAACTCTTCAACTTCGGGATTCAGTGGTTTTTGTTCCGAGCCCTTTTCATCACTGTGTAACTCCATTGGATAAAGAAACTGAATAGGTCTTTCTAGATAACTCTTGCCGGCACGAAGTCTCACCGCCCTTACAATTCCATCTCTCCCCGGTATTAATCTTTCCACGATTCCGATCTTCCACGTTCCTCGATTCTTTCCTTCTCCTTTGATGAGTACCACATCACCTTGTAAATTTCTGCTTTTCCCGTTATGTCGTAAGTCGTGGCTTTCTCGAAGCGCTCTCATGTATTCATTTCGCCATCTCCGCCATAACGCCTCTTTACATTTCTTCAAATATTTTGCTCTCTTTCGCATATCACCATCTTCAATTTCAGCACTCGGAAGTTCCAATAAATAATTGGCTTTACCCAATATCATCAGGTTTGGCGTGAGAACAGGTAATTGCACGTTGTCTTCGCAATACGTTAATGGTCGATTATTGAGTGCTATCTGGATATCTAGCAATACATCCTGCAACTCCTTGTAGGTGAGTTTTGCAGAACCAACGACTTTGTACAACAAATTCTTTACCAACGCGACCATCCTCTCAAACATACTGCCCCACCAACTTGCTTTACTCAGATTAAACTGCCATCGAATTTGATAATCGTGCAGAAATGCGTGAAACCTTTCATCTCGGGTTGCTTTCTTAATCCACTTCGCAGCAGCATGAAAGGTCTTACCATTATCTGAAATCATCTTCTTTGGTCTACCGCGAACCGCTACAAACCTCTTGAAACTTGCCAGGAATTCCTCACAACTCAAATCAGGTAAAAGTTCGAAGTGGAGTCCTCTAGTTAAGGAACAGGTGTAGATAAGGATATACGATTTCTGTTCATTGTTCTTGTTTCGATAGTAAATAGGGCCAGCATAATCTACACCAACGATTTCAAATGGCGTCGTCTCTTCGGTTCTTTCTTTTGGTAAATTACCTTGAGGTGGAGTTGGTTCATGCACTGTATGGAACCGCTTGCAACCATAACAACAACTGAGAACTTTCTTCGCCAAAGTTCGTAATTTAGGAATCCAGAATTCATCACGGACTTTGCTCATGATCAGGGCAACTCCCCCATGCAGGGTCTTCATATGAGCTTGCTTTACGACCAATTCAGATAATACATGTTTTGCTGGCAGATACACTGGATATTCACCTTGGATTCGTCCTTGGCACACGTATATTCCCTCGCCATTCTTTTGAAGATTTAATCTGGTAGAATCCACTTTGAAGATCTCAAGTGCTTCGCTCTCGGATTGTGCGCGTTTAATCAAGAACTTCATCTGCTTCTGTGTTTCTTCGGTCACTAATGGTCTGTTGACTTTCTTGCCACACACGAAGTTGTCATTAAAATCTCGTGACCCAAGCTAAAATTCGAACAGTTTTAGGCAGACCGAATTTCTCTAGTAAACAATCAATGAAATCGGCCTCTTTCTGAATGGTAACTTTCATTACTTCTCTCATCATTCGACTTTCTGACTCGGACTTCTCGCTCGGTTTGATCTTTACTTGCTCCGGTCATTTTTCAGTTTCACTCAACCAACTAGGCCCTTTCATCCAGGTTTCATTCCCTTGAAGATCTCGTGTTGTACCTCGACTGCCGATATCTGCAGTGTTTTCGAGAGTTGGAACATACTTCCACTCGATTTGCTTCTCAGTGATCTTTTTCACTCGATTAGCTACGAATTGCTTATAGTTACCCTGTCCGTTAATCCACTGTAGACAAACGGTCGAATCGCTCCACGCACAAACGCTTATCACTGGAAGATGACTAAGAGCCTTTCTGACATTGTCAATAAGATTGCAGACCATATGACAACTCACTAGTTCCAATCTTGGAATTGTTAAATCTCGTTTTGCCAGTCTCGTTTTGGACACTAGCAGCCCTTGAGAAACTAGATCACCCTGTTTGGTCACAACGTAAACAGCGGCACAACATCCCAGAATACTTGCATCAGCGAAACCATGAATGTAAATCTCTGTAGTGACGACTCTCTCTCGAGGGATACTTCTTGGGAAGGTTAAACTGCCTGGTAATCTATCTAACCACCGCTTCCATCGATCCTTCATATCTTTAGGTAATTCAGCATCCCATCCGAGCTTACGATCACAGATATCACGGAAGATTACTTTATCCGTGAGTAAATATGGACTAGCTAAACCCAGGGGATCATATACTCTCGCCATTGTTTGAAAAACTATCTGTTTGGTCATTTCTACTTTCTACTTTGGTAGTGATACAGACAAAGTATCTTCCTTTTTGTTCCATCCCAGTCCCAGGAGCTTGGTCTTTGATGGCTTAGTTCCCAAAATTTCTTTAGCAAAGGTAGATTCTCCGTTTTCCACGTTGTCACTCTCTAACTCCGCAGCATTAGAATGCCATTTGTGCAAAACAAAGCTTCCCTCGCTGAGAATTTCTTTGGCTTGCTCCTTGAGTACTACCGTCTCCTCTACTTTATCACCTCCGATGTTTATGTCATCAACATACGTTCCTTCAGATAATTCTTCAACACATTGTGGATAGTGCTCTGCATACTTCTCGAGATGAACGTTCAAAGTCCCTCCGAGTAAGAATGGGCTTGGGCCTAGCCCAAACATTGCTCTGGTCATACGATACACCACCATCTCTTTGCATTGTAGGTTGTTTATCCATAAAAATCTCATCGCATCTCGCTCGATCTCTCTAATCACTATTTGTAGGAACGCTTGTTTTATATCACCAGCTAAGAGAATAGGTTTAAGTCGATTACGAAGTAGTATGTCAAGGATTCTTCTTTGGAGTGGGGGACCAATGTCCAAGCAATCATTCAAAGACGGGGATTTTTGATCAGCTTTTGCCGAAGCATCAAACACAATTCTTACTTTCGTAGACTCGGCTTGCTCTCGTACTACCGGTTTGTGGGGAATGTAATGCTCTCGGCTCCCTTCAGGTTTCTCAGGCGCAATCTCGACCACTCCATCTTTGAGTTGATTTTCCACTATATCATGATAAGTCTTCAGCAGTTCAGGCTGTTTGTCAAGTCGGTTGAATAATGACTGAAATCTCCTCTTGGCTGCAAGGTAATTGGTCGGCAGCTCCGGATGATGAGCCTTCCATGGAAAGATGTCTCATATCGACCGTCCTCTTACTGAGTGAGCTGTTCTTTAAATTCTCGGTATACGCTCCCTTGATCTCCTTCAACATGGTCTCCTAATCCAAGCACAACCAGACTACAAAGATGCAGGTAGTCTTCTTGGGAGCTCTTGGTAAACATCAAGTAGGAATGGTTCTTCTCTCGCCCCGGTGACATGATAATCCATCCCAAAGCAGTTTTCTCAGCGATTGGCATCCCATCGTTCCCAACCTTAGCAGGTACAGTTGTCTTGATTGTAGACATATCACTGGCACCTAGGATTAGATGCACAGGTAAAAGTGCTTTCTCATCAATATCATTCATATGTACTCCTTTAAGGTGTTCATGGGTTTCAATAAGTTCTTTATACCTCGGATTTGGCACTTTCATTAGCACATCCTTGTCGATTCGATTCAGTTCACATGACATCTTGAAATTGCCATCAACAGCTGCAATCTCCACCTCATAAACATCAATCTTCCTTGTTGTTGTTTGAAGCATCATCTCAATTGATTTAAATTCTTGTCTTATCGGCTTTTTCCCAATTGCGTTTAACAACGTGCTTGATGCAAATGAACTCCCAGACCCAGTGTCTAAAAGTGCTCGACACTTTAGTCCTCCTATCTCTACCACCACAACTGGATAAACTACATCCTTCCCATTAGGTTGACACAGCAGTTTTTGATTTGCGTTTAATTTATCACAAATAGAAGTGTGATGCCTTCTCTTGCAGTTGTAACATTGGCTCCCACTTCTGCAATCACTTGCTCTATGCTTTTCGCCAGTGCAGTTGAAACACCGGTGCTTGTTGCTGACAATTTTCTTCCGGTCACTGACATTCACCACTTTATCACATTCCACAGATCTGTGATCTTTGCTTTCACAATATACGCATTGTTTAGATTGGTCCTTTGTTAACAATAACTTATCTCGCTTACCATCTTTCCATGAAAATCCATCTTTTTATCACTTTGTTGTAATGGGTTTCGCTCAATCCACTGTCGCAATGCCTCAACTAACTCAGGGAAAGTCCACCTTTTTCCAATCTGATGAGGTTCTCGTTAAATCAGCTCGAATGCCTTCTAATTTATCCAACGTCATCCTTACATTTCCTGCAACATCCCCCAATTTTCCAAATGCTTCAAGAGCTTGAACATGCCCCAAAAGACTGTCATAAAAGTTGTGTATCTTTTGTTTTGATACACCAGTAATAGTAGGTAAAGACAGAATTTCTTGAATATGTGCATTGACTACCTCGCTTGCGTCACCATATCTTTGCTCCAACATCCTTTTCACTTTTGCATACCCTTCGCTATTCAGTGGTAATTGATCAATTGTAATTCGAACTTTAGGTACAAGATGCTCTTTTAAATATGCAAACTTTGCTTCGTCTTTCATGGGTGCTTTATCAATTTGGGTCTCAAATAGACCCCAAAACCGAACCCAATCTAAATGAGTTCCTTGAAATTTCGAGATTTGCAGCTCAGGCAACTTCGTTTTAACCCGCTTCTCAGCAGCTTCTAGCTTCTTTTCCTCAAGAGATAACGCAAACTCTTCTTCTCTTTCACGCTTTGCCAATTCTATCTCTCTTTCCTCATCTCTAATTTGAGCTCGTGCTTCCGCTTCTTGTCCAATTTTCTCCCGACGCTCAATTTCCTTTCGTTTTCCTTCGTCGTCTAAAAGCTTATTATTTAACTCTTCTATAACCTCCTCAAATACGCGTAACTTGCCTTTGTTTTCGTTTGTCCACTCGTCAATAACTTCATCTTCTTGGCCCGCATCGACCTTCAAGCCTTGTATTAATACAATCAAATCATAAGCTTCGTCTACTTTGGTTTTTAGTGTTGTTTGTTGTCGTTTAATCGCTTCTATCGATTTCCCTCTCAAAATCTCGGTTGTTGCTCGGTTAAAATATGATAATTTTCGCAATACTGACTGGAAGATTCCTACTTTTGTCTCCGTTTCATTAGATAAAACCCGACTGCTCTTGTGCTTCAAGATCAATTCGTTGACTTTGTTGTCTCGTCACCGCCATGTCACGCTCAATTTTTTAGTCAAAATACATCCTCAAACCCCGATTAATTCTCGATAAATTCCAAGTCACAAATATATAATAATCGCCGTCGAAGGTGCCACTTTGTGGGGAATTCTGTTGCTTCCCACAATTGGTTTGAAGAAGTATTTTCACGTTTTTAAGATATGTTTCTTTTAACTATAATTTCACTTGCTCGCACGCTCTCTCTCTTGCTCTATCTAATATGTCAATCAAGTGTCAGTTTTTGTTCGCTTCCGCTAATAACAACTAAGACGCTACTAACATTCACGAAACAATTATAAAGAATTTAAGTGAATGATAAAAACAGAATATAATTGTAGGCCAAACAGTTACCCCCTTATATAGTGTATCAAGTTATTCTTTTCTGATAGTCTTATCGGGTACATTGTACCGAAATACAGGGTGTATAAAAAAAGTACCCCCTACTAATGAAATCAAGCTTTTGTTAGAACTTGAAAGCCTTATAATTATGCCAAACCCACGGATGCAGTGAGCACGACAAAAAGTTTTTGTTCCGTAGTCAGTTGAACCATTTCTTTTATCCTACCACTCTACCTGATCCTACCACTCTACCTGATCCTACCACTCTACCTGATCCTACCACTCTACCCGATCCTACCACTCTACCTGATCCTACCACTCTACCCGATCCTACCACTCTACCCGATCCTACCACTCTACTTGATCCTACCACTCTACCTGATCCTACCACTCTACCAGATCCTACCACTCTACCCGATCCTACCATTCTACCCAATCCTGCCACTCTAGCCGATCCTACCACTCTAGCCGATCCTACCACTCTACCCGATCCTACCACTCTATGTGATCCTACCATTCTACCTGATCCTACCACTTTACCTCATCCTTCCATTGTACCTAATCCTACCATTCTACCTGACCCTACCATTACACCTGATCCTACCACTCAATCTGAACCTACCACATCTTCTATCCGTAAACCTTGGCATCCTTGAGCACCACCATATAGAAAAGGTTGGAAGCCACATATAAAAAGTATGTTGTGTAAAAGTACTTTTAATGGATTTTTCAATTATTTCTTAAAGTTTAGTTTGAAAGTTGAAGAGAGATACTTTCTAAAAATATATGTATCGGTTGTTGTCTTCCCAGTTTATCCATTCTGGACGAAAGTTTTAATCAAGGCTAGAGGTGGTCCAGTTGTCCGCGAAGGAATTGTTGTTCCTGGATTTGCAGCAAATGATGAACCGGTGTCACCGTATCGTGGCCTCAGCAGAAACGTTTTTGTTGAAAAAGTATATGGTACGTCAGATATTTTAAAAGTATTACATTGAAACATTACATTGTAGTAACATATACTGCATTGATGATTTTTAAGACTGCAGTGAAGACGAGGATATGGTTTCTGGGGATTACGTCATCCGTTCTTTTGTGCTTCTCACCCCGAAAGATGAGAATTGCGATGAAGGAATCGGTGGTTTGGTAAATTTGGAGCTGTGCTGCGACTTTAGAAAAATTAAGCCAGACGAAGTTAAAGAGGAGCTGTGTGCCGCTACAGCATGCCAATGTCCGAATTCCCTGGAAATAGACTGGGTACAGTGTTCAGCATGTGACAAGTGGAACCATGTCCATTGCGTTGGTATTTTGACAGAAGAACAGGTGCCTAAGAAATGGCAGTGTGGACTAGAAAACTTTAATCCAGAAGACATAATCAGGTACAATACTCTTTTAATGACGATGTTTCTATATCATACAAATAGATGTGTTATTTTTAATCCGCTACAGTACTAAAGTAGTTGCTATCTTTAAATAGCACGGTGGGTTTACAAATATGTAATCTTGCAGAAAGATTATATACACACATGTTGTAATATACCACCTTTTTACGTATATCATCCAATGATGTAATAAAACAAAATAATTTGTTAATAGCAAGAAAGATCAATACCAAAGCTTGACAGACATGCTCCCAGTCTTGGAGACAGTTGAGATAAGCAACATAATAGTTTGTTTTACATTCACAGGCACAGCTATCGGATCCTATCAAAATTATAGTATATATTTTATACGGTATACTTGGCAATTAAACCTTTTCATGTATTTTTTAATTTAAATTTATTTAACTTGCCTTAATACCATAAAGTTCAATTTGTCCCTTTAGAGCCTTAAATCATAATATGTGGAAAGTAATAGAGAGGTAAAGATTACCACATTTACTGGTACGGGTACTGGTAGCGTTATTTTTATTGGTTGTTTTACTGTGTTGAAACATTTACTCTCAATAACTGTACACAATGTTGTGCGGAAGACTACATAGTTTATCACAAGAACACAGAAGAGATTGATAAAACATTTGGATACAAATATAATTTGACTAATAAAATGATGCCACCGGTACCTGTACCGGTAGATAAGTTAATCTTAACCTCTCTACTGTTAAATGTTCTTCCCACTACTAAGAAACAATTGATATTGTATAACTTTACTATTTAAAATGGTGTAGGAACATTTAAAGATGGTGGCAACCAATAAAATTGGAAGTTTCAGACATAAGCTCTTCATCAAGCACGAAGCGAGGGAAAAAGATGCAATTTTGAAACAATTATCTGTAGGCGCTAACATTCCCTTCTCAGAAAAATTGGTAAGTAATTATGAGTAATTATGTATCATGCAACAGGTTTTTAAGAAGTATACTTGAATTGATAGGGTGAAGACTTGATGGATATCGTGTCGGGCTTATTTATTCCACCTGAAATGCCAATGGAGGGCTTGTCTTTCAAACTTGAATACGTCACTGATGTACTTATTCCAGAGGTACAGTGCATACAGTTTGTTTTATATGGATCCAAAAAAATCATTTTGACGGTCAAACTTAATTATATATATGTGCGTCATGCATGACTTCATGGTTGACAATCAATTATAAAATGCTGTTCAATAAATCTTTCTGAGTTTATTAGGATGTTATTAAACTTAACAGTTACAAAACGCCTGACCTTCATATTTCCACGTTTAATATTACACACGCCTTATGAAATATATATGTTTGAAAGACAGAATTTTTAGGATCCAATATATAATGAGAACCACGAAAGGGAGTGGGCTTTGCATGATTGCTAAATTAGACACCATTCTGTCACTGAGTGCTAAAGTGTAATGCAAATATTTTACAATAATACAGGCGCAGGTTCGTTTTGTAATGGATGTGGAAAATGTTCCAAGACATGTTGCAGAGTTAATGATATACAACTGGAAAGAACAAGTCCCGGAAATGCTTAAAACATACCGACGAAGATAATGAAGCAAATTATACGTCCTCTGATGGCTGAGTATGCGCACGTTCGTCTGCTTCAATCGTTTCATCAGGATCTGCAAGTGGCAAATAGTTTATACTGGGAAGTTCAACATAGTTTTGTAAAGAATCTCTTATGTACTGGACGTGGTTTTGTACAATCTTTTGTTCGGATTTTAACAATGCAAGAGATCCTGCTTCATAACAGTTAAGCGTTTCGTTTGACGAAATAATGCTTATGGCACAAGAAATCTTAGCTTCGTCGCTGGTATAATAGTTAAAAAGTCCTTCTCCTCTCAACTTTGTTTAAGAAGATTTAACATCTCAATTGCGTGTCGCTTGATTGACGATGAAATTGGGTTAACTTCGGTTCCCTGCTCCTCCATAGTGAAAGCCCCTGGCTGTTTCATCCCCTCTAGGTTTAGTTCTTGGAACGAAACCTTTAACGCTTCTTGTAACTGGTCACGTGCAGAATTGTACTCTATCAACAGTTGTTTCATCTTCTTCTCCGTCTTCTTTACTTGGTTGATAAGTTTGTTGGACAATGCGTTACCTTCTGAAAATAATAAATAAACTGATTTTTCTTTATATGTTTCAAATATAATCAAGCTAAATATTTCATAGTTTTAATGCAGAATAAAGTAATCTACCATTAAATAATAGAGATTTACACTTGCGTATATGCTACATAAATGTTAGCGCTGCAGTTCTTACAATTTCAATACTGTACTTACCAGCGTATTTTTCTTTCAGCTTTAATAGAAATAATCTTTCTTCGCACACAGTTTTAATTTTATCATAAATTTCGCTGCATTTCTTGCAATTCTTTCGTTCAGCTTCTCTCAAGTATTGTGGGTCATTCGACGTCCATCGTGATATTATTCCGTTGGACCTTTCTAAAATGGCTAGCTCTTTATCTAACCTGCCACATAAATTAGAATGTCTCAGAATTAATTATGAATTATGTTATCAGTAAAATTTTGTTAACCAATCCCTGTTAAGATAAAACATATTTGTGTAATAGTCTCAAACAACGAGGGGAGTTGAAAATACGAGGCAGAGCTGAGTAATTTTTTAACTTTGAGTTGTTTGGAAATCGGACGAAGTCCTCCTTAAAATGTTTGAGCGTATTCCTCATAAACGAACGCGTATATAATTTACGAGAAAATCAATGTGAAATTTGACTTAATTTATGTAATTTCTTCCTCCAATTTCAAAGCATAACCCTCCTCCATGGAACCGATTCCATTCATTTGTTATTTATTCATACATTATTAATGAGTAGAACTGAGAAACAATGTTCACATGTTGATGTCTAGAATTAGTATACATATAGTGGTACCTTTCAATCTTCTTAGTGATGGCCGACACTTCATCTGCATAGAGCATTTCATCCCAATGCACAGATGACTTCTGCAAAACAAAACAATATAAAATAAGACAATAAACTAGCACAATATTAATTAAAGTATGTAGTACGAAAAGCGATGAACCTCAGTGCATAAAAGGTCCTCAAATTATCAACATAAATCAAGATCGGAAACTCACTGGATCCTGGGTTTTTTCCTTGCACTGCTGATACGGTAATAAAAATTAAAATACGGTGAAACACTATTTCAAGCAATCATTTCCTATTCTCTAAATGATGCAAAACTATTCACGTACATGTACACGGCTGTTGGCCACAAACACATAAGTGTTCTTGATTTGCCAGTTCTTCGATGAACGTCTCAGATAAGGGCACTAAATACACATTGAGATTACAACAAAAATTATGTAAATTGTGTTCTTTATCTAAGGAACACAAAAATAACTTTCCAACTATGACATACCTGTACTATATGTACAACATGCACGTTTACTTTCTTTTAAAATATCATATTAAGGTGTATGTACAATACTTGCAATATAATCATGTTAGGACCATCATTGGTGATTTACAGTATACCTGGTGATTTTTCTATTAAATCATCAAGGTTTTTCCTACTTGCATCCATGCACTCCATCGACCGATTCCAGTTTCGCGATAAACTTGAAACTGGAAAAAATATGTTAGATTCTATTGTTGCAAATCCATTATTCCTAATAAAGGCAGATAATGCCGTGATAAGGACGTTTTATCAACCATTTACGTAATTTATTTGTTAGCATTTTAATTATATACTGTCTGTACATGAAATGTATGATTCAACATTTTGGTAAATCTTTATTTATTAGCTTGTATTTTGAACTCTACCCTTTTCCATAGAAATATGATCATATAAAATATGATTAGAGTAATTACCTAAGTTATTCTTACAGAGACAGCCATAATGCAAAATTGCATCAGTTAGGACGTCGATGCGATGTGATGGACGCATTTCCTTAGTCATTTTCGAGAAACGACGCAAGAATGACCATAACCTCTCTAATTGTTCGCCATCCAACAACCCAAACTCATTAATTCGTGTGGGCCTGAATTCAAGCTGTAAATAAATTTAACAATTCTTTCAGTGGCACAATTCTTGATATTGGTCTTGTGCATCCTTTTTTTATTTTTTTTTATTTTTCAAGCAATAATCTTCGTTAAGTTTCTATACGTATGATTTACACAATACCTGGCAGGCAGCTTTGTGACCGTATATGTGGAAGGCTGGCACCGCAAAGGCAACCTTCGACAATATATCCGTTTGACCAGATGCCTAAAACAGAAGTACTCCAAGATAAGTTACCTAATACGTTATCCAAAAAGGTTACCATTTGGATGATTTAAATTAATTAATATGAACCTTCATGCAGCTCATATTCCACCGCAATTCTTTTTTATTATTTTACATATGGGAAGATTAATAATAATAGGGTGTAGTTAAGGATATTGGCTTATTTTCATTGTTTCATTACCCGTAAATGTTTGAACAGCAAACATCCAATATCATACATGATCTTAATGTTGAGGTGACTAGACTGACTTTTTTCAATGATATCTTTTAGCATCCAAACAGAATATGGTCTCATCCAATGCTTTGAACTGTGTTTTTGACCTCAGCATGTCGCCAGCCTTGAAATCATTACAATCCTACGAGGGATAAAACTTTTTTTCCAGGAAATTATACTTCCCAACTAATATTGTAAAATGCAACATAATTGATAAAAACATTGCTTCCAACCTTGGATGATTTTGGTTGGGTAGGATATGTATCAACAAATTTGTCCACTTCGTTCTGGCTACAAAAAACTCTATTGCCCTGCAATGGTCCTCGAACGCTAGAACCTGCAGCTTTTTTACAGGGTAGACCAAAACAGGCATCTAAAGACTCGATCAGTACACCTCCATCCTAAAAATATTTTGCAGAATGACATGATCAACAAACAGATTTAAATAATGGAATTTCTTATTATAGTAATTGAAAAATAATGAAATAATTAACTTTGTAATTATACTAAAACTAAAAGTTGTCTCAGTTTTTATTCACCAATATTCACTTCGTCTTTGGAAAATAATTGTTAATTAGTAGACATTAGTTGCATTTTATGAATAGCAATATTTACATTAAACATACCACAGGTCAAGCAGGGCAAACATTTCCACAGTCTCGCTCTGGACAAAGAACTTGAAGAGTCCTTAGTTCATGCTTCATAAACCTGAAATAAATTACAGTAGAATACAGTATTGTGCCTAATTAGTCATACCGTAATTTATCTGTCTAACTCTTATCTAATTGTCCAAACCTTCCATTTCAGAACTGTGCTAACATTTATTACAAATATACCGGCCTGCACTGTACTGTACATGTAGATAAGAAACAATTATCGGTAATGTGCAAGACTTTGTCAGAACATAGCCAGAATAGAAATACAGTACTATAGCAGATAAAACAAAAAATATGAGGGTACATTGTGGTTTAGTGAGTTAAATTAAAAAGTGTAGTCTGCAAATGCTGTAACATATATTATGTTAGATCATTATACAAATGAAGCACAGTAAATTAATTTAATTTTTAAATCTCTCATCACTTTTCTGTCACCTTCAAATAGTTTACTAATTAATCCAACATAATACAGACTATGATTCAGAAACAACTTACAATGACATATTTTGGAATTTTGAAATTTAAAGCTTTACATAAATCATTGGCTGACACTTGGCACTCCAAAAGCAAAGCTTCCATCCAGTCTAGAAGATCAAAAGATAGTGCCATATTTGGATGCTTTGAACTTGTTGGCCATAGATGTAATCTTGCCAGGGTAATAGGAAAAGCTTCACAAGGACAAGACATAACACCAAGTTCATGTCTCCTACCTACAAATACATGTAAAGTACAATACTACCATATAACCCAAGTATGGATTAATTTCCAAATGTACACAACTCAATGTGAATGAACATTTAGTGTGTAGTAATAGTATAGTCTTCCTTTGTCAGTTACTTTGTGGACAACCATTTACTGAATACAAAGTTTGATTTTAGTTACATGTTAGGTCTCTTCCTTTCAGGTACACTATTGATATTGGATAAATTTACTAAAATTAACTTACCATCATCACTAATAGCAATTATTGCTTTTGTTTCCATAGCCAAACAGGAATGCCATGGACGAGGATTTACAATTCTATCTGCAATTGTGATTGGTAAAAACATTCCATCCTACAGAAAATTAGAAAAAATGTCTACAGTTATTACTAGACACAGTTCATAATGTATAACTAATTTAATTTTTAATTCTAAGTAAACTTTTTTAATTGGGTCAATGATGCAGGGATATATTTTGACAGGTGACCAGTATGGAGTTATGACAATGGTTTGTATAAAGTAACCCGAGGTACTGTAAGTTTTCATGCCAATTTGGCTAGCATATATATATATATATATATAATTATATATATATATATATAATTATATATATACTTGCTTAAATGGCATTCATGTTACTTAACCCATTAAGCTGTAGTGTACTTAAATGCAACCTACTTTAATTTTTACTCTGTCTAACACCAGACAATTTTACTAGTCAATGGGAGAGTCTTGCAACTCAATGGGCTATGAAATTGAAAATTTATCATTTATATTCCCTTCTTTGGCAGCATGATCCTGTCTCTTGCTGACATGGACTTATTATTTATTTAGCTTTGCCTAGTAAAAAACGTATACTAATACAGAGGTGCAACAATACAAATACAAGCTACATAACAAGAGGTGAGGACACCACAACAGTTTACACCAGTTACTGTGGGCCCTTAGAGTGGGAAAATGCATTAGCCGGGGAATCGAACCCGGGTATCCCGCATGGCAGGTGAGAATTCTACCACTGAACCACCAATGCTTTGTTTCCTATGAACTATGTGGTATTCTGTAGTGACACATGTATACACCTAAATTCGGCATATAATTTACACCATGGTTACAGGTTTGACAATAGGGTTGGGTGTAGGTTGGTTTTTGTATGAGTATATTTTTAACAGTGGCGAAGCTAGCCCGCCAATTTAGTCCTGCTATGCAAATATTTTTGTGTTCATACACCGTAAAAACAATCAATTTCTAAAGAAATTAATAATGATAATCATTTAAAATTTGCATACAGGACTAAATCGTTGGGCTGGCTTCGCCACTGATTTTTAAAAATAAATCAATTGACTAACCACTATTGTCGGACCTTTAGCTATCAGAACTAAAGATACAACAACTCGGCACTGTAGCCATAGTGTATAATTGACATGTATATTACACATTACAGCGTAAATTTTCATTTTCATTTGTGGACTGTTTATTGTATTTTTGTTCACTCAAAGTTCTTTACCAAGGGGCTGTTCTTAAACCTTTCATTAATTACCCCCAGTCCTTAAATAAGACAAGTATCATGAAGTAAGACATAGTTACTAACCTTCCACTGTTCAATATTATGGAACAAACAACTAATCTTGTGCAATGAAGCCACACACATTTTACATAAATAATTTCCTATGCCACAGTTTAAACATCAGTAATTTGCACTAGCAGTACCACAGTTAGTACATACTTGGCCTTCTGGTATGCACTCTGATTCAATAACAGCTTGCAGTAATTGTTCTCTGATGTTTTCCCAGTTTTTGGCTGAACTTTGCTGTCGTTTGGTATAGCTGCTTGATAATCATCGCTTGTGTCAAGATCTCTTTCTTCGAACATAAAAGAAGTTGAATTGGTACTATCATCAAAACCAATTTCATTCACTCTCAAAGTTTCGACACACTCTTCTTGTTCTTGTGGAGTAGCTAATTCTACCTTTCTTCGTACTGGGGAATGTGATGAATCCGTAAATGCAATAAGTTCTAAAGCAGGAAGGCTACGTTTGATATTTCGCCGCATATTTTAAAGCAAACAGGCGAGAAGGCAACTTATAATTTGTTTCTAATAGCACCACTCCACTAACCCGACGCCATCTTGATATTTGAGTTGCGCTGAGTTAGTAGATGGTAGACTGAAACTAGTACATTGCTAGATTCCTGGGATTGCTGGGATTAGTAATCTGGCCACTAAAAATACTGGGCCTGCCCGACCAATCTGACAGTATTTATGCTACGTAGATTCTCGCTAACCGGGTGGCTGTTTCTATGGCTACCGCTTTAGGATTTTTACTTCATCTTAACAAAATTGAAACATGTTTCCACCGCGAATCGCTTTTTACGAATGTATTGTTGTTGTTCTCTATATTTATTTTATTTTATTTATTTTATTTTACAAGTTTGCCATTTTGAAATTAGGTTAAACATAAATACATAAATTACATAAAATGGCTAGAATGACCACACAGAGATAAAATTTCCAATAACGGGGTTCCACAACATGCACAAAACATAATATAAAGCGTGACAAATATTTACTGTAGACATAGTAATAAACTGACAAACACACTGATAGGCCACAAAGAGATTGTAGCATCATGGTAACTGCACTTGCTAAGAAAGCGCCGGCTATATAGTTCAGCTGAACTAACAACAAGACCTTGATGATAAGTTCCATAAAGGACGACTTGTGTGACATTTCACACGAACAGATTTAAAAGTTCTCGGGTCATCGATGTTAAAAATACTGTCTGTTAGACTCTTATAGTATAGTTGCATAATAATGCTTTAAATTATGCTATAGACTTAGTTGTGTCTCTAATATAACTTGGAAGAGTGTTCCACACGTTGGCAGCTCTGATATAATAACTGTTCTGGTAGTTAACAATTCCGAAATTTCCTACATTTAGGAAAGTTCCTTTACTGGCACTTCTTGTTTCTCGCGTTGAAACTTGGACCGAGATGTTATTGTCAGAGTCATTTTGAGATTTTTAAATATGTAGACAATGTCTAAATATTCGTGCCAGTAATACAGAGGTCTGATGCGGAGGATCTGCAATCTCTCTTTGTACGACATATCTGTTTGTTATGGCAGGGGTAGGATAAACTTGGTGGCTTGATGCTGAACACGTTCAAGTGTTAGAATGTTGCTGACTGTCTGTGGAGCCCACACTTGACTACTGTAGGCTAGCTGACTACGGACCATAGTGAAGTAAAGTGTTTTACGGATGGATTGGTTACGGATTACGTGTGTTGTTCGCTTTACGAAACCCAGCATCTTGTTGGCTTTCGACGAAACCTCCTGAACCTGTTGGTTCCATTTGAGGCCACCAGTTATAGAAATACCCAGATCTCTCTGATTGTTCAATCGGTTGACTGGAGTTCCAAGCACTGTATACTGTGTGATGGTTGGTTCACGAGATCTTGTAAGATGAAGCACTCCACATTTAGTTTGGTTTAAGTCCATCTTCCAGTTGTGACACCAGTTGGTAATGTTGTCCAAGTCAGATTGAAGGGTTTTGTTGACTTCGGAATTTTTAATAGGGCGGAGGCATTTAGTATCGTCAGCGAACATTGCCATGGTACTATCTTGTGAGACAGACTTTGGGAGATCATTGACGTAAATCATGAATAGAAGTGGCCCAAGGATTGATTTCTGGGGAACACCTGATAGAACTGGGAGTGGTTTTGATGTTACACCAAGCGCGGTAACTCTTTGGAATCTCCCTGAAAGGAAATCCCCAAACCAACGAAAAAGATTTCCTGTAATACCAAAGTTGTGAAGCTTCGCCAGTAATAGATTGTGACTTACTTTATCCAAAGCTTTGGCAAAGTCTAGATAGACAATGTCAACTTGGCTTTTTTGCTTAAGTATGTTAATAACTTGGTGGAGAACATGTAGGAGTTGCGATGTTGTGGATCTGCCTCTGAGAAAACCGTACTGTGGTTTGTAAATTTGACCATGGACGTGTTCTATAAGTCTATTATATATATACAGCGTTCAAGCACTTTCAAAACTAACGACAACAGCGATATTTGTCTATAGTTGGAGACGTCGTAAAAAGGGTTTCTTTTTGGAATTGGACTGTTGTTGGCCAGCTTTTATTCTGACGGTAGAATTCCACAAGACAAGCTCTTGTTGAACAGTTGGCATAGAGATGAGCTAATGTTAACTGCACATTTCTTCAGCAAAAACGCTGGGAAACGCTTTTATCTGGGCCAGTAGCTTTAGATTCATCCAGGGTCTTAAGTACAATACATACTTCCTCTTCTGTTAATAAGATATCTGAGATGGTGATAGGGTTGATCGTGTCGTTATCGGAAGCAGGAGGGGGAAGCTCGTCAGTAGTGTCAGAATGTTTAAACACAGAGTAGAAGTAGCGATTTAACATGTTGACGATGTCTACAGAGTTTTCAGCCGTGGAGGGAGTTGAGTCTTGTTGAATCCACGTCATTTTACTGGGAATGTTAGAGTGTTTCGAGCTAGATTTGAAGACAGACCAGAACTTTTTACTGTTTTTGAAAGTACTGCCTCCGCTTGGTTCTGACTAGTTTCTTGGCTGCATCTCGAAGTTTGCAGAATTTTTCCCAGAGATTAACACATGAGGAAAGTTTTGCCTTTTTCCTACACGAGTCTTTCTTTGACAGAAGACGTCTGACTTCACCATCAATCCATGGAGGAGAGGTACGCCGTTTGAAAGTTTTGAGTGGAATATGATCAGCCGCCACACCAAGAAAGAGATTTTTCCATCGCTCCCAATCGCCGTTAATATCGCTCGCCTCGTTTGGTGATAAATTGCTATGGTTAAGAGCGTGATATAGGCCGTTCCAGTCTGCGTGGTGGAAATCGAAAACAGTTCTCTCGTCAAAACCTCTTGATTTAATATGAAGTAAGACGTCAAAGAGTTGTGGTCACTTGAGAGGTCCATTGTTTTAGCGGAAACACACGACAGATTGACAACGTTCTCAGGGGTAGTTGTTAGGACAAGGTCTAGAATGTTATTTTGCCTGGTTGGGTACATGTTGACTTGATGGAGAAAAAAAATGCAACGTAAGTTCTCTAAACTCAGATGATCCAACTGAGATACTTCGTTCTGATTTGCAGGCACCAGGCTGGAGTTCCAAGTTAAATCTGGGAAATTTAAGTCACCGGTGATAAGGACTTTTTCGTAGTGCGAGGTTTCCTGGAGAAATGCCGTGAACAATTCGAACCATTCGTGTAAATCGCAAATAGGTGGTTGATAACAAGCACACACTAGATATTTCTTTGAATTTAACAGATCAAGTTCGAGTGCGATGATCTCTAAACGATCCAACCAGTTTGGGCTGTTTTTCCTTGAACTTACTCTGTTGTAAACAATGTCATCACGTAGCGCTAGACGAATTCCACCTCCACGTTTGTCAGCAATCCGATCTTTCCTTATTATGTGATAACCTTTTGGTAGTATCTCATTGTTCGTAATGTTATTGTTAAGCCATGTCTCTGTCACCATTATCATATCAAGTTTCTCTGCGTAAACTAGATCTTGAAAACACTTTAAGTTACTAGTAAAAGTCCCGTCAGGTAACTTGACTTACTTCGAATGCTATGAATTTATATTTAGGTGAACTCTTTCATAAAATTGGGCAAAGTTTTCATAAAATTGAACCAAGCTTTCATAAAATTGAGGTCCGCTTGGTAAATTTACTGTATAAATGCTGGATATTTACTGACAGCTCAGTTTCAGATTTGTATACCTAAAATGATTCGACCTATTTTCTTTTATGTTCTTTCGAAACTAAACGAATCTGACGCTGTTCAATTCGAACCATTCGTGTAAATCGCAAATAGGTGGTTGATAACAAGCACACACTAGATATTTCTTTGAATTTAACAGATCAAGTTCGAGTGCGATGATCTCTAAACGATCCAACCAGTTTGGGCTGTTTTTCCTTGAACTTACTCTGTTGTAAACAATGTCATCACGTAGCGCTAGACGAATTCCACCTCCACGTTTGTCAGCAATCCGATCTTTCCTTATTATGTGATAACCTTTTGGTAGTATCTCATTGTTCGTAATGTTATTGTTAAGCCATGTCTCTGTCACCATTATCATATCAAGTTTCTCTGCGTAAACTAGATCTTGAAAACACTTTAAGTTACTAGTAAAAGTCCCGTCAGGTAACTTGACTTACTTCGAATGCTATGAATTTATATTTAGGTGAACTCTTTCATAAAATTGGGCAAAGTTTTCATAAAATTGAACCAAGCTTTCATAAAATTGAGGTCCGCTTGGTAAATTTACTGTATAAATGCTGGATATTTACTGACAGCTCAGTTTCAGATTTGTATACCTAAAATGATTCGACCTATTTTCTTTTATGTTCTTTCGAAACTAAACGAATCTGACGCTGTTCGAGTTGGCATTTTTCTCTATCCCCCTTTTTATCATTATTTTGTTCTCAGATGATAGATGACGTGCACTATAAGAGATCGCACACATTAGCTATTCCGCCATGTTAGAGGAAAGGGCTGTGGTTGGGGCTGCAGTACTACAATCTATATGAATTTTATATTTGTTTGCTTTTAACCAGAGGTGTATTTTTAACTTCACACCCAAAATGTAAATGGCAGAAAAAGAAA